ACTGTAGTAGGACCCAGAAACAATACTGTGCTTTTTTTTTCTTTTTTTTTTTTAAATCCTACCTAAAACACACTGACTCGAACACTGACACTAACTTAGCAACCTAGATCAAGCCCTGATCTAGCTATTTATTTTTTTAACTAGAAGAGAGCATCCACAAAGATGCAATGGGGGAATTTATCAAAACTGGAGGAAACAGAATCTGGAGAAGTTGGCCATGGCAACCAATCAGCATCTATCTTCAGTTTGCTTAGGTAAGATGTAAAAATGAGAGAGAAACTGATTGGCTGCAATGGAAATCTGTTCCAGATTTTGTCTGCTCCAGTATCTTTTATTCCTAACAGGAAAAAGAGCTACAGGGGAGGCTCGTTTTATTACTGAACTCTGTCATTGGGGAACACGGTAAGCATGTGTTCAGGAGACAATCCTACTGACTCCAGATCGTTACTCTGAGACCAGGAGCTGGTGGCAACAGCTGCACAAAACAAAAAAAGGTGATCAGCGCCAGTATAAGAGCTAAGCACTAAGGATATAAATAAATATCTAAAAAATTTGAAAAACAATATTGTGCCAAGCTAATAATCATACACATCTAACACAATGAAACATATATAAATGAATTGCATATATGAGCCTTAAAGCAAATAAGGCATACAAAAGATCTACACACAAAAAAGCAACAAAAACAAAAAGAGCCCCAAAAAAACCAATAATGATCGTGCAAGAAAATTCCTCATGATTTACAGCCAATCTACATGCAACTCTCAGGTTACATGCAGATCACAGGATGCAGGCAGACCTTCACCTCCACCCAGTGAGTGATAACAACAAGTGAGTGCTCACCTGGCGGAGGTAGACCCACAGCGCTAGGTCAGATGCGCTTTTTTCCCTTAATGGGGGAGGGATGCCCTTGCACAATAAAGGCGATAAGGTCTCCTCAGATCACATGTACCAGCATAAATACAGGAGGCAAGAGAAAAAGGACAATAAAATGCAATTTATTAAATGAAAAATGCGTACTCACAATGGTGCAAACAATACAGGCATGGAGTATTGCTGGATCCAATAAGCAGGCAAGTGGCAGCAAAGCGATGAAACATCTGTTCGTCCAGCTCAGCGCAGTGACATCAGAAGCTCTGCCCTATGGGGTGGAGGTGAGCCACCTAAAGCTTAAAGAACTGAGTGAAGTCTGTTGAGTGAACTTTGGAGAGCGCAAGACCCCCTCCAACCAAGTCTTGCTTTATTCAGGCTTACGAGAAGAAAATGCTCCCCTTGAACATGAAGGTGGAATTCTGATAAGCCCACAAGCTTGTGCGGCTCCTATTAAATGGAAGCCAATAAATGAGAGAATAATTGTAGCCAGATTCAGGACATGGGTGCAAAACCTTACTATGGTTCAATGTTATGCACTAACTGACGCTGGTTTGCAAGATAAAGAGACCTTTTACAGTGAGCTGAAAGGTGAGATTAAAAAAACTGCAGGGTACAATTCAGATTCATATGGTCGACTACAATGCGAAGATTGGCCCTAATAACACAGAGCCTGAGGGTTACATGGGGCATCAAGGTTTAGAACAAATAAGCGAAAACAGAGAGCTGTTTGTTCAATTCTGTAACAATGATACCACGATAATTGGGGATTCCCACTTTCCTCATCAACCAGTACACACAGTCACCTGGGTCTCCGGTGGTGGCCAAACAGAAAACCAGATTGACCACATATGCATTAGCTGTAAGTGGAGATTTGACCATTATAATCTTGTTGCTGAGATACGCCAACGTATGGTGCATGTCTACCACCAGGAAGAGTCAGACATCCCTTTAACGTCTGCCGTTTGGAGATTCCTGAAGTCGAACAGGACTTTGTAAAAAAACTAGGAACCTGAGCTCTAGAGATTCTACCAAGGAAGAACTATAGAGCAACAGTGGATGGCCATTGAGAATTCCTTTACTACCAGTGAAAAAATTATTGGTATACTGCAACCTGAGAGGAAGGAACTAATCTCGAGCATTGAGTGAGCAAAGACCAGAACAGCTAAAGCACAAGCCTGTTGACAGTATTCCAAACTGGAAGACTGTCAAACGATCATGTAGGCAGGACAAAAGCGTTTGGAATAACTCCCTAGCTGAGGAGGGAGAGCAATCTGCCACAAAAGGCAACATCCACTTGTGTATCACTCTGAAGGTCTTGTGCAAGGTGATCTTAAATCGGATTCAGGAGAAGATTAATGCTACTTTCCGGAAAACAGGAAGCCGTTTTTTGTGCCGGAAGATCTTGGATGGATCACGTTGCCACACTATCATTTATCAAAGATAAATATTGGTACTCGTACTTGATACTAAAAAAACAAAAAACGGTAGCGCTGCATCCCTAATTAAAAAAATAAATAAATAAAGATTATATATATATATATATATATACATACTGCTAAAAAATACATACCTGCTAAAAAATGCAGACCTGCAGCATTTTTTGGCAGTACAATGTGTCGCACCACAGATCACACCGCACAGCTAAGGGAACCGGAATGGATTGTACACTTTGTACACTCCAAACTAAAAAGTTAAGAGTGATTTGCTGAGATAGAGCAGTTTAGTGTGTGGGGTAGTGTGAATGAACTCTTAGAGACCTGGGCCCTATCACTATCCTGTCCTTAAATCAGGCTGAAATATAGATATGACCCATAACACTAAGGAAAAAGTCTTGTTCCCTTTTCTCTATAGAAGAGGTAATAATCAGCATCAGGAGTTTGTCATAAATCAAGTAATACCCGGAACTATTCACATAATTTGCAATTACTGGACTGTGTGTTCCTACCAAATATTAGTAAAGCAGGTAGAATGGTTTACATCAAGTATTAATCCTTTCTGGTATAGGCAGAAGATTACTTTTTTTTTCGTTAAAGAAGAACTGCTGACAATCTTAACCGTTGCAGTGGGGCTTCCCCTGCACTGCAAGGGTTAAGTGCTCGTATTGTGTACAAAGATATGCTCACCTCCATCTTGGACTCGGCTGACTGCTAGACTGGCCCCTGCTGCTTTTTTCCCCATTAATACTTAACCTGTTTTTGGATTTAATCTGTTTTATGACTTTTCTTAGTGTTGTATTTAAAAAAATGCACAAAACTGAAAATAAAAAGTACCTTTTTTAATTTGCAAACAACTGCCATGCTTTGTATCATAACGTCATTTTAGTGGCATTATACACAGGACACGGTATAGAAGAAAATGTATAATTTTTATAACAGTAACACTTACCATTTTAAAAGTCACACTGGTCAAAATAGCAAAAAATATTTTTTTCATGTTGTTATGTCTACAGATTGCATCGCAAATAAAATAGTAATTATTATTTTTAGGCAATATTGCCAAAAGAAGCCTTGTTTGTCCTGAGAAAAAAACAATGTATGTATTATTTCATTATCTCAAATTAGAGTTATTCGAGAATTCAAGTTATTCTGGAAAAACACCCACAGCAGAAATGTAAAAATTGCTCAGGTGTACGAGAGCTGAAGTGGTCAGTAATCATAAAATAAAATGTAATATCTATTCAACAATGATAAATCCCAGAGGAAGAAAAAAAATTCCTTGTGGACCTACGCAATCATTTTTAAAATCTGTAAAGTGCAACTATTTTCCAGTAAATCAGAATATTATCTTATAAAATGGCATTGTATACAGATTTCTATGAAGCAGTTTAGTACACATAAATAGACGTAATGCTGCCACCATGTGGAAGCCACCTTAAAAAGGAAGAATGATTATTCTCTACAAAAATGTTCATACCCGAGAGTTGTATTGTGGTGCATTTTGGTAAAAAGCTGCAGTTATCCTGCATACATGTGCACAGCAGTGACAGACACTCGCAGGAGGGGATTTTTGGAATCACCATTCAGTGTTACTTGCCATGTAATGTAGTGGGGGGAAAAAAAACAGGTGAAATATTCCTGGATATTTACTGTGCTGATGTGACTGTAGCCTAAAGCAATGTTATGTAATCCAAACAGGTAGTGACAAAACATTATTCTAAATCTATATGTAACAAAATAGTTCAATAATTTACATTGAACAGGAAGTAAGACACATAATGTACAATGTCCACTATAATGTTTTTGTTGAATATGTGCTATTTACTATACACAGAATATCAATGTTTTACATAATACAGTTAATTCATTCAGAGTCAAACCAATTTAAACAATATACATATTTAAGTCAATTTAAACAATATACAAAATAATACTAATAAGATATCCAAATCTAAGCGAGACAACTGGGGCTATCGGGGACGTTGACCTCACAACTTCCAGTTATTCATCACTGTAGATGTCACTTGCGTATGGCAAATGGACTCGACTTCCTGTAACGTTTGGAAGACGTGACAGATCTGGCAGATTTTGACTCCGCAGCCTCAGCTCTTTCCGGACTTGGGATACCCTTGCTAATTTGCGCTTGTACTCCTAAAGAACAAAAATCGACATCAATTCAAAGCAATGCACACAATGATCTAAGACAAAAGTTTTTTCCATAAACATTAACACCTGCATTTATAAAGCAGGCCCACTGTTTTGCACACATGTACACTTGCTTGCCTAAATGTCATTCTTTCCTATTACAACACTGAGACTGTTCAGGTGCTGATAAAAAAGGCAAACCTCCCACTGTGAATCCACCCTGAGAAAGAATATGTAAGATTTACACAAATGCTTTAAAACGAAGAAAGATAAGCGTCTGAATTAAACCGAGCTAACATTCTTTCAATGTATATAGTTGATCTAAAGGGTAATGAGAAGGTTAACATAAGTTTTTATTGAAGTTTGAAAGAAATCATGGAAGGTAAAACAAAACCTTAAGGGCTAGTTCACATCAGATGCAGTCTGTTCCATTTTTGAGCTGCATCAAAAACGCATCACAATGCTTTCCTATGGGTTTTCTTGTGCTCTGTTACCTGCAGAGCTGTCCATTCCGATGCAGCCAGAAAAAATTCTGCTTGCCCTATTTTAGCTGCATCGGATCGCGACAGAATGCATCAAAATGCATCGGAACCCACTGGAACGCACCTGAAATCCCATTTTAAGCAACCCCCCCAAAAACGCATAAATCACTGTAAAATTGTGCCAAAACGCATTGCACCCCAGGTGTGCAGACACATGCTGTTCTGATGTGAACTAGCCCTGAACCTAGTTTTGCAACTTTGCCATGCATTAAAAAAAACTGTGAAAATCTTTGCTATTGATCATATGCAGGTGAATTAGGTCTGGTTCACACTGAGCGTTTTGTAGCGCTCTTTCTGTACTAAAAACAGTCGAAAACTATGCCCCCCCAAAAATCCCAATTATTTATATGGCCCTGTTCACATCTGAGTGTTTTGTCACAATAAGCAAAACGCTTGTCCCTGGAAAAAGTACATGAGTTTTGTTTTTTTTTACATATTAGAGCTTGTTTTGGCCCTATAGACTCAATAGGAAACGCTTGAAAACCCATGTTTGCTGTATTTTTGCTTGCGTCTGCCCATTAACATCCATGAGGTGGAATCTGTTCACAAAAACACACAACTTGATTTTTGTGCATAAACCACACGTAAAAACGTGCAAAAATTGTGCATCAAAAAACGCACGTAGAAATGCGCAAAAATGCTGTCTCCTAGAGGTGAACCCAGTCTTATACCTTGTTACGGAGAGGACAAATTGGGCTCTATTTGGTGGTAAATGTTAATGATATCTCCCGATGTATTTCTTATTAGCAAAGGAATGCTGGCCCAAAACAGTAAAACATTTTGTAAACTTTAGCTGTATATTACCATGACCCACCACCATTTAAATACATTTCCACCGTTGGCGTTCATGGCAATACCACATATGTGTGTGTTATTTGTTGTTTGTACCTGTAGTAGGACCCAGAAACAATAGTGTGCATTTGTTCATTGTTTTATGCTACCTAAACACACTGGCACTAAACCCAGTACTAACACATGCACTGGCACTAACACTGAAACTGACCAAAGCCCTGAGACTGATCTAATCTAGACATTTTTTTTTTACTTTGGACTTCTTTAATGAGGAGAAAAATATACTGTACATAACATGCAGTACCACAATGTGTGTAGTGCATGTGTAGTGTGTGTGTGTGTGGCAGAGGTTTGGGTCCCATTCAAATGGCCACAAAGAGCATCAAGAAACAGCAGATTTCTGCAGTACACATGTAACCACACATCAGAGTGGTGACATGAGTACAGGGCCATGCGCACAGGCAGATTGCATCCAGGGCTGCTCATCCATGTATACTCCACATGCAGCTGTGATGTGTGGTTACATGTGTACAGCAGAAGTATGTTGATGCCTTGTTATTTCTATATATTTTTTACAGCACAGAATATGGCACTGCAACAGCAATAGCAGGTGTTGGTCACATTTTTAATCAATGGCTGAGATTAGTGGCCTGTCAGCCACTGATCACACCTATTCATTTATTCAGCAGGGTCAGGGAATCATGTTCTGCTATAAGCTTAAGCACCCATGAGCTTTAAGCAGAAGGGAATGCTTGGTAGTGAAAGGGTTAAAAACTTGGTTCTCAACTGGTGGATTGTGACCCAAAAGTAGGTTGTGAACCCGTGTTCAGTGGGCCACCGCATGCCTTCCACTTTTCTAGGCAAGAGGATCCTCTGAGTGTCAGCTTGAGGTGGGATGGGGCTTTGACCACGAGGGAGCTCCATCCATTTGTGCATTGCTTTCAGCTACCTCACATGTCCTATAGGAGGTGCCTCGACCAGACTGACATCACAGGCAGCATCCTCCACTAGGTATTCAAAGTGGTTGCAAAGAAATGTTGTCCCTTAACAGCTATGCAGAGCAGAGGCTTTTTAACCACTTGCCGTTACCTGTCAGTGTGCCTTTGCTATTATATAGGGGGATTGTTATCCCCCTATATAATAGCAATAACAATAAGTGCAAAAAATATATATAGATATAACTTAAAAAAAATAAAAGTAACATATAAAAAAGTAAAATAAACAAAAAAGTCAGATATAAAAAAAAAGTGAAAAAAAACCCCCAAAATGTTTAACGCCCCCACCCCCACGTTTACGCACCTATAAACGTAAATACGCGTCCGGTGCCCCAGCTCGTAAAAACGACAATTGCGCTACACGAAATTTTTCCTTAATATAGTAAAAAATAAAACTCCCCAGTGGTGAATAAATACCACCAAAAGAAAGCTCTATCTGTCCCCAAAAAAGGGTATAAAATTCATTTCAGTACAGCGCTGCATGACGGAATAAATGTCAGTCAAAGGACTGCAGCGCTGAACACTGAAAAATGGCCTGGATGGGAAGGGGGTTTAACACCGCGGATGTCAACAGGTTAAAAGCTGCTTCTGCAGTCCAACACTTTAACCAAAATGTTCTCCACATGTGTACTGACAAAAGACCCATACAAAAGATGAGACAGGAAACCTCCAGCAGCCCTTCACAACTATAACTCAAAGCCACAAACATTTGGTCCAAACGTTCTATGATCAAGGGATCGACTTCAGCAGTGACATGCTTCCTTTTGAATGAAAAGCGGAACAAAGAGCACCAGTCTTTGTACAAATGCTGAACTGCTAGTCAAGATCTTTTCACACCAAAGATTTCCAATACTGCCTTAGAAATAAAATTATGTGCAGGGGCTGTAAGTTTAGAGTTCATTAGTGTCTTGTTGTTCATTGTTTAAGCCCCGATGAAGGGCTTTCAGAACCAAACCATCAAGCCCAAATATAGCTCCTATTCAACTAGAGAAAGTCCAGCGCTTCATCCCCACTTACCCTTGGATACTTATTTTTGAGGGTTTTTGACCAACCAGTTAGGGTCAAGATTTAGATGGGATGAAGAGGAGCGTGGCCTGGTGCAGCATGCAGTGAGACGTGCTTTGTGAGTGTTCCGTTTCACAAGGATCCTGAGCCTTATTCTGTCTGGCCTCCTGTTTTAAACTTCAGTGTTTTCTACACTCCGGTGATCTCTTCCACCCACATGTCACCGATTAAACGGAAATCTAAGATTAACAAGCTTGACAAATTCCAGCGCATGGACAATGATGGTGGATTTGTGTTGGCCTCAGAGGAAGAACAGCCAGATCCTTCAGCGGAACGCCTGGCTGCTGACAGTACCAAGATACTCCAGGCTATTTCTCTGTCAGAGTACTCTAACTACTAAGATCAATGAGGTTAAGCTGGATATTTCCCTTATCAGGCAAGGTCTTAATGCGTGTCTGCAGCAGAGGAGATGGCGAGTACCCTAGAGGATCAGGTACCGCCATTGCAACAGGCTTCTAGGCAACATCAATGCTTATGACATTTTCTGCAATTTGTTTGTTCCAGAGGAAGCTAAAGGCTCTGACCCACCACAATTTTTGGAATCGCTGTTAAAATGTAGGTAAGGTAGACACAAATTCTTCTTGTTTATAGTAGAATGGGCACATTGTCTGCTTACTAGACCCCTTCCACCAGGAGCCTCTCCTAGACCCTTTATTGCAAAGTGTCTCAACTACAAAGACAGAGGTGCCATTTGCGAATTACTAGGGAAAATGGCGATATCCCTTTTCACAACATAACCATATCTGTGTATCCTGACTTTTCCACGGAGATTCAAATGCAAAGAGCAAAGTTTACTGCAGCTAAGAGATGACTTTGAGAACTGAATCTCAAATATGCTATACTATACCCTGCTCGCCTATGCGTTATTGATGGGGCTCATACCACCTCCTTCAATTGTCCGGAAGTTTTCCAGTGGCTGGAACAGTGTAGCAAGTGATGGAGTCCCGGGTTTCATTTCTCTGTTGTTTCTTCCCAGACCATGCTTTTCTCTTGCTTATTCTGCGAGCCTTCACATGGTGAACTTATGCTGCCAGGTTTCTATTGCTGACTACTGCACCTACCATTTGCAGGATCTTCTTTTCCTTAGGATGTTCCCTGGCTTTTTTCAACCAGAGGACTATTGTACATAGGGCTAACTTCCATTTACCTGACCTATGGAGGTGCCGTCATCCTGCAGGAGCCGTTGTTAATCACGCCATAGTTGTCGGTCCTGTTGGATGCTGCCTTACTGCTGTCTGCTTCTGGTGATTTTCGTTCCACTAGTATACAGGGTTCCTGTTATTTTTCAGACTACCACTTGATCTTCCACATTGTTTTTCCTCAGGGAGGCTGAGGTGGTGGATGCTACCGCGTTTGGTTGATTCTCTCTTGATGGATATATCATTCTTCTTTCTTTTCCCACTTAAGTATTTTTCTGGGTTGTTTTGCTCACACTAGTTGGGGGACGTGTAAAGCCAGGTGGATTGAGTTGTTTTATCTAGTGTTGTTACTTTTACTTATTTTTAGAGTGTGTCTCCCTCTTTGTGCATTTTTCATGTTTACTGTACAGATATTGCTCGACTTTGAAGATGTGGCTGTCTTGCCGGCCCTGATATCTATCTATCTTTACTTA